CAGCCCCATCCATTCCACACCCCTCACCAACACCTTTCCCACGTGGCTACCCCCTTGTGTCCTCCAGGACTCAGCCCCAATGTCACCTTGTCAGAGAGAACATCCACTTCTCCCAAAGCCCCTCACACCACTGGGCCCTCGTCACTCGATGCCCCGTTTTAGTCTCTTCAGCACTCTGGAAAGTTCACTCTGACATTTTCTTGTCTGTGTGTCTCAGCCTGTCTCCCCTACGAGAATGTGTGCCCCATGGAGCAGGGCCCTTTCTGCCTGGAGACAAGACTCTGTAACCCCAGGGCCTGGCCCACAGCAGGATGGGAGGGAGGCCGGGTGGCAGCCTGGCCCATCACCCGGAAGGCAGTCTGCTCAGCCGTGCAAGGGTAACATCTGGCACCGCGTTGGCAGAGGACTGGTGCTCCATCCCTGTCCATCAAATAAATGAACAGCCAAAACCGGTTTGGCTCAATGGATAGAGCGTCGGCCTGGGACTGAAGGGTCCCAGGTTCGATTCCAGTCAAGGGCATGTACCTTGGTTGCAGGCACATCCCCAATGGGGGGTGTGCAAGAGGCAGCTGATCGATGTTTCTCTCTTATCATTGTTTCTAACTCTCTATCCCTCTCCCTTCTTCTCTGTAAAAAAACAATAAAAACTATATTAAATAAATAAGTGAACAGACACAGGGACATTCCTCTGAAAGTCTGAGACTCCAAACCCGGGTCCTGCCCTCCCCCGTTCTGGGCTCTGCCCTGAGCTCTTGCAGTTCCACTAAAACCTAAAACACAGGGCCATTCCCAAGCTTCTAGTCTACGGGAACTCCCCCAGACAGCTCTGATTTCCTCAACACCCTCCCACCCCCCTGCCCAGGCACAGACGGGATTAGAAGCCAAAATGGACCTCTCTATCCCAGCTGAAGTGAGCCTCCTAGACCTGGATCCGGCCCCCAGGACAGTATGGGTCCAATGCTGACATCTCGACTGTTGGGATGGTGTCCAAGTTCCTGCCATCCGCAGTGGCACCAGCATACTGTCCACAGCCTTCCTCACCAAGCCACTCATAAACACACTGTGCAGGACTCAACCCGTGTCAGTCACTTATCAGCCTCCCACCCCTGGCTCACATGCCTTTGTCACCTGCAAGGTTTTGGTGAAGAAAAAAAACACAAAACATTTATTGCTGAAAAGCACAACTCTTACATATTTCTAGACTGGAAAACTAATCGGAAAAACAAGTAAGCTTCCCCAGCAGGGAGGATTCTCGGTGCGTCCACTCGCGGTCTCCTTTCCTAGGTGCCCCCACCCCAACAGACTCTACAGCTTGGCCAGGACTGATGCTAACTAAGTTCACTTGTTTATGGCTGATGGACTTACTTCCTCTTTGGAAAGATAGAAAGCACCTTCCCTGTCTCCTGCCTTTGGCACAGGCTCTAGCCTCTGAGAAGCAGTGTGCAGAGTCGCTGTGAGCACTGCCACTTACTAGCTGCTTTTATGTAACCTCTGCACCTCGGTTTTGCCATCTGAAGAATGGGGAGAACAATAGCACCAAGATCACAGCATTGTTATGAAGAGTAAATCAATTTTTCCTGCAAAACATTGACAACACGACATATAATAAGCACTCAAAAATTAACGATAAATAGCCCGAGGTGGTTTGGCTCAGTGAACTGAATGTTGGCTTGTGGACCGAAAGGTCTCAGGTTCGATTCCGGTCAAGGGCACGTACCTGGGTTGCCGGCTCAGTTGGGGGCATGCAGGAGGCAGCCAATCAATGATTGTCTCTCATTATTGATGTTTCTCTCTCTCTTCCTCTCTCTTCTTCTCTGAAATCAATAAATATATATTTTTTTAATTAATGATTAATAGTCTATCATAAAAATTAGTACAGTCATGGAATGGTGGCAGCCTGCTCTTTAAGCATCCTGGATGCAGCCTTCCCAACTGTGAAAGCTGAAGTTGTTTCAAATGGCTCTATCCTGTCTTATGATTGCTTCTGTCTTGGTTGTGCCTGCAACCAAGGTACCTGCCCTTGACCAGAATGCTCTATCCACTGAGTCATGGACTCTGCTCTGCTCCTGTGATTCCAAAGAGCATCCTTGTTCTTTGGCTCAGAAAACAGAGCAGCTCCACTCGCCTCAGGCCATTTGAACAGGTCTCCATTCTTCCTTCCTCTTTTCTTGGGCAGATGTAGCTGGCCTACCTCAGTCTCGAGCTAGCCTCTCTACCAAACTTCTTACAGGTTCTGAGCTAAGTTCTGTTCATTTGTCTTCCATTCAGTGAGCTCCTTCTCTGGGCTAGGACCTCAGGAGACAGAGGAAAACAATGTGGAAAAGGCCTTACATCCCAAGGGCCACAGGGCGGTGAGCAAATAGACCCATGAGATCCTGTCAGCTGGTGGTGAAATCTTGGAAGGAAAGAAGATGAGGGTGGAGCTACTTTATGTCAGAGGCACTTGGCACACAAGAAGCTTCGCAGGTGCCTGAAAATGAACCCACGTCCCCTTCTGTCTGGGTGTCCTAGGATGCTCCTAAGGCAGCCACAATGCCTCTTCCTTTTCCCCTTCAAACAAGCACAGCTGTACCCTCAGAATCTCATTCCTGCGCCCTTCCCAGTACTCTTGTCTCAAGCTCTAGAGCAAGCATGTCAAATTCAAAGGCTAACACAGGCCGAATAAACAAGGTTTAAGTTCATGTGGGCCACAAAAAACAAAAGCTTCAGTTTTCATAGAAACGTAGGTTTAGCCCTAGCTGGTTTTGCTCAATAGATAGTGTGTCGGCCTGCAGACTGAAGGGTCCCGGGTTCCATTCCAGTCAAGGGTACTTGCCCGGGTTTCAGTCTCAATCTCCAATAGGGGGCATGTAGGAGGCAATGGATCAATGATTATCTCTCATCATTGATGTTTCTCTCTCTCCCTCTCCTTTCCTCTCTGAAATCAATAAAAATATATTTAAAAAGAAATATAGGTTTATTTCGACAGAGACATGCTGAATACAAGGGCTGAAATAAATAATTGTTAACATAAAATATAGAACACTTTTATAAAAATTAATATTTTTTCTTGAACTTACCAGACACTGAATAACTGCACAAATTAATAAGCATAACGCAAATAAACCTATTTTTCTTGTTCTCGGAAAGAGAAATAATTTCTGTTGCACACACCAAACAAGTCAGTCCAAGACTGAATGACATGGCAATCGGCTGCTAAAATATTTGCTCCTAGTATTGAAGCGAATGTAAGGCACATAAAGGAAATGAATGCAACACGATTATAGTACTCGGTCATTAGCAAACATTGTAGTTTGTTATTAATAATTACGTATAATAGGATATTGTAAAAATTAAGTTACAGAATTTTTATTAAAACATTTCTTACTGCCAAAACCGGTTTGGCTCAGCGGTAGAGCGTCGGTCTGCGGACTGAAAAGTCCCAGGTTCCATTCCGGTCAAGGGCATGTACATTGGTTGCAGGCACATCCCCGGTAGGGGGTGTGCAAGAGGCAGCTGGTCGGTGTTTCTCGCTAATCGACATTTCTAGCTCTCTATCTCTCTCCCTTCCTCTCTGTAAAAAATCAATAAAATATAAAATAAAAAAACACATTTCTTACAGACGAAACTGGTTTGGTTCAGTGGATAGAGCATCGGCCTGTGGACTGAAGGGTCCAAGGTTCTATTCCGATCAAGGGCATGTACATTGGTTGCGGGCACATCCCCAGTGGGGGGTGTGCAGGAAGCAGCTGGCCAATGTTTCTCTCTCATCGATGTTTCTAACTCTCTGTCCCTCTCTGTAAAAAAGCAATAAAATATATATATTTTTTAAAAGCGTTTCTTACATACCGTTATATTGGCTGGGCTGCAAAAATATTCGTGTAGGCAGCGAGTTTGACATGCTTGCTCTAGAGGCGTTTCTGCCCTTTCTCTGCATTATTTGAAATCCACCTCTGGAGCTCATGGCACCGTTCACTGAACATCAGGAGTTCCTGAATGGCCTGAGTCACCTTTCCCTGGGCTCCTGTCATGTCCACATCATCACTTAATCCTTTCTTTCTCTTTCCACAGAACTGGGTCCCGAGTACCCGTCCACCTCACGGCTTCCTGCACCTTCTGAAGTCACCAGTGAGATAAGAGGGAGCAGATGCACTGCTCTTAGCTAACTGAGTTCCTGGCAGATGACGCTGAAGTGAAGGCACCCATCACGTCTGCACTTCCTTCTCAGGGCCAGTTCGGGGAGCTGCGTCAGAGCATCGGCCCTGTCCTCCAGTCGGCCAGCCCACGGCGTACCCCCCAGACGGCATCACTTCCGTCCCTCTCCCCTTCAACCACCCCTGGAGAAGAGGCCATTCGTCCTGGGCATCCAGGCTCCTGCTCGTTTAGAATCTAGGGCAAGGAGGTCCTGATGGGAAAGTGGGAAGGAAGGTCCAGGATCGGGTCTAGCGGAAGCCCTGGGAAGGGCTGTGGCGGCGGCAGGGCCACAGAATAGCTCTGTTGAGACCACTAGCACTGGCCACACCTGCCACAGTATGAATGAAGAGTGGGCAGGAGCCTGGGAGCAGGAATCTGGGCCCGGAAAAGCCCTCATCGCCCAGCCGGTCACCCAGACGGCGGGTCCCAGCCGGCTTCTCTGGCATGGGGGAGGAAAGAGACAGGGAAGGCAGGGCTGCCTCCGCCTGGGTCAGAGCAGGGGCTGCCCGGCAAATCTGGCTTTCCTTCTCCCTCTTAAAGAGGGACCAGCTGGCCTCCAGGCTTGGGGGATCTCTGCAGGCCTCCTTTCACTTGAGAACCATGCTCTCCCTCCTAGAAAGAAGGGAACATAGGACCCCACCCACGTTACAGAGGACAGCGCAGGCCTCGTGAGCTGCCTGAGACCACTCAGTGCCGGACAAACTCCTGGCAGGACCCGGGAGGCCTCCCCACCCCCTGGGTTCCCCCCGTGTGGGTTTATGGGCCCGTGTGGCTAAGTACCCCCTGTGGGGGCCAAAGAATGAGACTCGGGGCTGTGGCTCACTCACCGGGAGGGAGCCTCGAGGTCAGCTCGGCCGAGGATGCGGTGCTGCTGTGGGCTGTAGAGCCACTGGAAGGCGGTCAGCGTCCTCTCCTCAATTCGGAAGCGCCCCTCCTGCACGTACCTGCAGGCGGGAGAGAGGAGGAGGGAGGTGGGCAGGGCGCTGCAGAGCTCCTTTGAGGAACTGGCCTGGCTTGCTGGGGAAAGACAGATGTGGGGTACCTGTCTCCCACTCACCGCCTCCCCACCTCCCACCCCGGGGGTATCTGCCAGAAAGACTTTTCCAGAAGGCCACAGTGAAAATTCCCCGAGGAGCCCTCACCAGTTTGGCTCAGTGGATAGAGCATCGGCCTGCGAACTGAAAGGTCCCAGGTTCCATTCCGGTCAAGGGCATGTACCTTGGTTGCAGGCACATCCCCAGTAGGGGGTGTGAAAGAGGCAGCTGATTGATGATTCTCTCTCATGGATGTTTCTAACTCTCTATCCCTCTCTCTTTCTCTCTGTAAAAAAATCAATAAAATATATTTTTTAAATCAATAAAATATATTTTAAAAAAAATAAAATTCCCCGAAGAGCGGGCAGCTACGGAGAGCAAGTTTCAGCTCACAAGATGGAAAGACTCTCTAAAAGTTAGCTGTCGGGCGTTGGCAGGAGCCTGTTGGAAGGAGTGAGCTCTCTGTCACGGGAGGTATGTAAGCAGAGTGTGGGCTGGGAATTCAAGCATCAGACAAGGGTCCATTCTCCAAGTCCCATACAGTGCTGAGCCACTGGGCTTCTTGATTTCACAGCAGAAGGGCTGCTCTGGAGAAGGTGTAAGGAGTCAAATGCCAGGCTCAGGTCTTCCAGAACCTCCAGGATCCCAGCCACCCTCCAGACAGACAGTCAGCGAACACAAAAGGATCTCTCTCACCCTGGCCACTCCCTCCTGGTAAAACCATGAATTCATTGATTAATTCAACATTTACTGCGTGCCTATGGTGATGAACAAAAGAGACTTAATCCCACCCTGGCTGGTTTGGCTCCATGGATAGAGCGTCAGCCTGCACCGAACTGAAAGATGCCAGGTTCGATTCCAGCCAGGGGCACATGCCTGGGTTGTGGGCTCCATCCTCAGTAGGGGTTGTGCAGGAGGCAGCCGATCAATGATTCTCTCTCATCATTGATGTTTCTATCTCTCTCCTTCCTTCCTCTCTAGAATCAATAAAGATATGGTTTTTTAAAAAGAGAGATACTTAAAAAAAAAAAAAAAAGTTTTCAATGCGGCGTTCCCTAAGTGCTATCGTGCAAAGTTCTGCAAGACACATTCTTAAGATAAAATCAGGTGCAGAAGAGCAGTATGTGTACTTTATGTTAAAAGGGGGAGGGAAGGTATAAAGTATAAATTCGTATTTGCTTATCTTTATGTATGGAAACTCTGGAGACACAAAAGCTAATAAAAATCGTTACCTGGGCAGGGAGAAGGGGGAACTGGTGAGTGGGGGCAGAGGGAAGTGGCATTTTTAACAATGTTATCGTTTCATACAAGAGAGGTTTTACCTATTACAAATGTTTGTGCGCGTGCGTGCATGCGTGTGTGTGTGTGTGTGTGTGTGTGTGTGTGTGTGTGACTACAAACTGTGTAAAGTGCTATGAGGAAAAAAATTTGTGCAATTGTGCAGCTGCGCCGACACTGCCATGGGACCACGGCTATTGGCTGGGGCAGATTTCCCAGAAGGCACGGCTGCTGGAGAAGCGTGTTTCCTGGCTCCCAGGCCGCCCATATCAGAGCATCTGGCTCCTGCCTGCTTCCTTCCCTCTCCTCCTCGGATCTGATGGGCACTGTGGGAAGGTCCTCCCGGCTGCTGAGCCGGAAATGGCAAGGCAGACAGGGTAGATGCTGTTGCAGGGCTCCAGGTGGGACAGTGGTGCCAGAGGGGATGGTGCTGGCGAGGGAGTGAAGCAGGTGGGCTCTCAGGTGGCTAAGAAGGCAGCGCTGGCTGCGCTCCCCGTGATGGGTTGGACCGGGGTGAGGGGGAGACAGGTGACAACGTTGTTCCCCAGCTTCTGGTTTGTGCGGGCACTGACCTCTGTGCCATCCACACTGGACAAGGACGTGTTTGGGAGGGAAGATCCTGTCTTTAACTTTGGACACGATTCTCCTCTGTGACCTGCTTCCTGCCCCACGATGATGCTCCTCCTGTAAAATCTGGCTCAAACCTCGGCTCCTCCAGGAAGCCGCCCTGGTTAATCCCATCCTATTCCAATGACAAGTGTCCATGCCTTTCCCTGTCCTTGGGCTCCTCGGGACTCAGCCTTGAATGACACCCTTTTGCCATCTCTGTGGGAGCAACTTAATAACACCAATTGCCTCCAGCCGAAGCCGGTTTGGCTCAGTGGTAGAGCGTCGGTCTGCGGACTGAAAGGTCCCAGGTTCGATTCCGGGCAAGGGCATGTATCTTGGTTGCAGGCACATCCCCAGTGGGGGGTGTGCAAGAGGCAGCTGGTTGATGTTTCTCTCTCATCAACGTTTCTAGCTCTTTATCTCTCTCCCTTCCTCTCTGTAAAAAATCAATAAAATAAATTTAAAAAAAATAAAAAATAAAAATAAAAAATAACACCAATTGCCTCCAAAGAAGAGAAGTGAGTCTGACTGGTGTTGCTCAGTGGTTGAGCATCAACCTATGTACCAGGAAGTCACCGATTCTATTTCTGGTCAGGGCACAAGCCTGGGTTATGGGCTCCAATCATTGGAAATCATGCAGGAGGCAACCTATCAATGTAGATGTTTTTTTCTTTTTTTTATATTTTATTGTGGGTTTTTTTTTTTTGTTTTTTTTTTACACAGAGGAAGGGAGAGAGATAGAGAGCTAGAAACATCAATGAGAGAGAAACATCGACCAGCTGCCTCCTGCACACACACCCCACACACACACCGGGGATGTGCCCGCAACCAATGTACATGCCCCTGACTGGCATCAAACCTGTGACCCTTCAGTCTGCAGACCTACGCTCTACCACTGAGCCAAACCGGTTTTGGCTCAATGTTTCTTTCTCATCGATGTTTCTATCTCTTTCTTCCTCTCTCTCTAAAATCAAATTTTTTTTAATTATTTTTTAAGAAGAGAAGTGAGTGGCTAGGGAGCATTGTAAATGCTTTAGTGCCCTTTGAATTTGAACCAATGAAATATACTATGCTTTCAAGAAGTAAATATCGTGTGTGTGTGTGTGTGTGTGTGTGTGAACTCTGCTGATGATGGAGTCTTAGGTGATTAGGACAAAAAACAAACACCAGAGGCCACTCATTGGTCCCTCAGCTGTATTTTACACATGAGGCCATGAGGCCCAGAGCAGGCACAGGACTGGTCAAGGAAGCGAGAGCCAAGGCCAGTGGTGGTGACCCCTCACTCCCAGGCTTGACCCCAAGAGGCTCACACAGGTCCCTAGGCTGAGAGAGGAATAGGCCCACACAGGAACCATCCCCACCCAGCTTCTCTCCTCACCAACTGTCACCCCTACCCACGGGGAGTCCACACAGCCTCGGCCACAAGCACACCTCCCGTCCTTGCTGCAGCCAAAACGCAGCCACCTTCCCTACCCTCCCCTCTCCCTCTCCCCCCTCCCCCTGAGACAGGTGCAGGGACTGCCCTCCGCCCTCTGCAGGCTCCCCATGGGATCCCACTTCCCAGCTCCAGTGAGTGAGTGTCCACGTGAGTCCCAGACTCCTCACGCGTCAGGTGGGAGCAATCACAGTGCCCTCTGCGAAGGGCTGTTGCAGGACTCAGTGAGATGTGAGGGCCGCTCTTTGCCACGGTTTCCTTCCCTTCCCATCATCCTCAGCGGCCAGTCTCCCCGGCCTCACACTTTCACGGATGACAGACAGACACACCCGCTACCGGCATGTTCTCCTCCAGCCACACAGCAAACCCCGTGGACCTTGTCCATCCCATTGTACAGGTGAGGAAGAGGAGGCTGGGGGAGGGGAAGGGACTTGTCCGAGGTCGTTCTCGCAGGAAGCAGCAGAGGCCGGCCTTCCGTGCACCTGCAGCTGGAGGCATCTGCCTTCCTCCGAACCCGCCTGCTCCTCACCCATCCTCTCCCCCCTCCCCACCCGCCTCTGCTCCCCAGCACCCGGAGAGGTCTCCTCTCCCACTGCAGATCAGCTGTCACCCAAGCCGCTCCTCTGATCCTCCCGGCCCTGCTCCCTTCCAGCCCTTCCCGTCCTTGCATGCCACCCCGTCCTTACACACACACACACACACACACACACACACACACACACACACACACACGCCCCCGCAACCCTGTCTTCCTAGAAACGTGCTTCCCTCTCTTCCCTGCAGAGCCTCCCTCCTGCTCTGCTCCGACCTGACCTGCTCTCCCTCTGTTTCTACCCCAGACCAGCCCCACCCTCCCGCCCCAACGGCTCAAACCAGCCTCTGAGCATCTGCCCCCAAGCCCCGGGCCGGCTGGGATCCAGACCCGCTCCAAGGTTCCCAGGATGCTTTGCGTAACCTTGTTCACCACGTTGCTCTCTGCCCGCCCGCGAGTGAGTTATTTATGAGCCTGTCTGTCTCCCCGCTGCAGTGCAAGACGGTGTCTGAGCGCCTCTGAAACCCCGCCACAGCCTCGGAAAGCCTGCAGCAGCCTCAGGGAAAGCCTGCAGCAGCCTTTGCAGCCTTCTGGTCAACCCAGCCGGCCTGCCGTGCAAATCACACACTGCAACAGTGGTCACTGACCCCTCACACCCTGATCATCTCCACTAATAAGCACAACTTCACTTAGGAAGTGTATTTGCTGAATTGGACCACATTGACTACAAGGAAAAACAGGAGACCTCCCATCCCCAAATATCTCCCCCGTGAACCTGCCGTGTCCCTGAACTGCCGGGGCGGTATCCTGGAGGAGGTTAAATACAGCAGAGGGCCAGCCTTGTAGACCACTCATCAGCCATTCAGACTTGAGCAGACACCAGTGTCTCAGATTGTCCGCGGGAGAGCAGGAGCATTGTCAGGAACATGCTGAAGGGAAGAGGAAGAGAAGAGGAAGGGTGGGGACTGCTCATAGAAATAGGCCCCAGGCTGGGGGGGGGGGGGGGACACCCCCCAGAGGATGCAGCCATCACCAAAGAGAAGGGTCTGGCACTTC